TTTTGGATATTTTCTCCAGGGAAGACGGTGTATAAGTAAATGGACAGCCAGAAAGACTGGCTGGTTCTGCACACTTAGGGAAAAGGTGAGGCGGATAAACAATCAGACTGTTACTGGTACCATCGGATCTGAAATTCTGTGCTTGTTGCCGAAGGTGGGAATGGAGCTCTATTGGCAATGACCTGAGTGTTGTAATGTTGATTCTTAATTAAACATTAATAGAGTTTCACCATCTTTTCTGAGCACCTGATTGCATTTCAAGACCACGATCGCCAGTGAAAACAGTCTTGTAGTATTTGCCTCTATCAGGGTTTGAAAGGGAATTTGACGTGAGACAAGACCACCCGGCCCCTAACAAGCACCTCTCACAAGGCGACTAAATGGGAGTTTTCCTAAATAGGATGTGTTGTGCCGAAAGGTGCAGATGTCGTGACGTAACGGTAGATCACATCGCAATCTGCCATATAAAGAAAGCATTTTTTTCACAGAAAAGTAACCAGCGAGAAGAAAACCGTAGCGCGCGCACCCAGACACACACACACACACATACACACACACACACACACACACAACACAAATAACAATATCCTGATATCGTTCATATCGTGGTTAAATTATTTTTTTTTAAATCGAGAACATTCACATTATTACATCCGAAAATTTAAAGCTTTAAATATCTTAGCTGCAAACTGTGTGGAAGAGCAAAATGAGCATCGCAGTTAGGGCAATATTTACAAATCATTGTTACTGTCTATTGTCTTACACGGATGTGAGAGTTGGACTCTCACTGTGGAAATAGAAAGGAGGATTCAGGCTTTCGAATGTAAATGCTATTAGTGCATTTTACGAATTAGTTATTTAGAAGACAACACTTATAAATATTCCAGAGTCAAAATATACAAACTAGCTTGGTTTGGGCATGTGGTGAGACATGATTCGAATGCAAAGACTGTGCCCTAAGAAACATTTGGGGGAAGTCGAAGAAGAGGAGGGCAAAGAAGAACCTGGAATGACATCATAGAGAAATGGACACGACTAAGTGAGTTATCATACACTTAATTATCAAGCAGAAGACAGAGATGGGTGGCGAAGTTTATGTGCTAGTGCTTCCATCAATACACCTCCACGAGCCTAACGGGTCAAGGGCTATGTTACATTATTTTGTTTTTTTTCTCCTCAGCATGACTCATTTCCACAGAGCACATAAAAACTTGTATCAATCGCAGTCTCCTCAAATCCTATGACGATTTCACAGGGTATGTTCAAAAAATGTAATCATGAATTAAACAACGAAGTCTGAAAACACATTGACGACGTTCAGAGCACGAAGCTTAGAACCCAGTCAATTCGCAGCGGTAACGGTAAAGTTGTTTGTGGCAATTTGGCAATTCAGCTGAGCTGTGAGTGTTAGGTCCTCATTTATTCTACGATGAAAAGACAGCAGACCACACGGGAACTAGAGTTAGTCAGCTTTATTTTATCACAATCACGAACGACAAATGAACGTTGTGGCTATAAAGCATTTATCAACTTGTAACATAAATTTATCAGCTTGTAACACAGATGCAATTAAAAACAGAAATACACAAATTCATTTAACTCTGAGTTGAGATCGCTCTTAAAAACACACATTGACAGTAGACTGTATGAGTAATATATGACACAGAAGGTTTCTATCTGACTTGACTTTGTTTTGCAGTTAAAACAAGGGCTGTATTTTAAAAATTTGAGGTAAAGCTGTGTTAGACGTTAAAGTCGGATATAAGGGAAGTCCGTTAGTTAGGCTAACCTAGGCATCTCCTTGTGAGATGCAATTTTTCGTTATTTTGAAGCCCCACCCCGGCTCTTGCCAGGGGCCGCAATTTTGCCCGACCATAAACATAGTCTAATGACTGAACGCGGTTTCTGTGACCTCTCTACGGGTGATCCTCATCTACATGGTGGCACCTTGTGTCATCGGGTGCTTATCGCTTGTGTGATGTCCAAGTGGGGTATAAAATCTACTCTAGTAAGGAGCCCACTTATTCTGCGTCGTGACATATGCGTCTAGGTTTCAAATCCGCATTGAGGTTGATGTTTTCCAATTCGCTGACATATCGACACAGCCTAAATGGCTTCTATGCACTATCCTGGGAAATAAAGCCGTAATCTTGACTACATCTCCCATCGTATGTCTATGCTGATCGCGCCAACACCGCAGGAGCTCTTCTCACGGCTTTTATTGGCGTGCAATTCTGAGCCATTTTATGTGGCGCATATAACCTAGTCACAATTATAACTTGAACCAATGACCTACTGATCCGTATCCGAGCGTCTGCTTCTTCACCACGGCGGCACCTGAGATGAATATGGCCAGTGCTTTCTTTTTTTAGCATACGGCTTGTTTTAATGAGTGTGTATTTACTTTCACAGTTTTCTTGTGCCACAACACGTCACATAGTTCTCGCAGTTTATTCCTCCATTTCACTATATCCTGTACAGTTCCTTTTATATAATGCATAGAATCCAGTCCAGCATTTTTGACATCTTTTATCAACGTTGGCTTCATGGTGTGTGTATGTGTGTGTGTGTGTGTGTGTGTGTGTTTAGAAAGTCTTCGTTTGCACCATCTTTCTAATACCAGTTGCAGTGCCTGTTTTGCTATTCTCGCTTTGCTTTTTGCCACGATGTGTCCAGCATAGCCATCTTTTTTTTCCCTCTGACTTACAAAAGAATGTTGAATGTTGAATTAGAAACTGACATCACAGCACTCGGGGCATTCCCATAAGCGCTCTGTTCCCATCTTCAGCAGCCAGCGAAAAGTTCCGATACTAATGGTGCCAGTAGCATTTTTATTAAACGTCCAATTTGCCTTTTTTTTTTCTGAAACCAAAACATCTACCAGAACCTCTCGTTAGCCCCAACTGCATCAATCTCTCCAGACTGTGGTGACCCATCTGCTCCTCCGAACTGTACATGCTCTAACACAAGGCACTAACCACGTCTGCCTTATCATATATCAGTATTCCACCAAGGTGTGCAAAGCCAGCCAGTCTGTCCAAATGTTCATTTCCCAACACATCGGTGTGCCCCGGTGAAAAAATCCAGACAATACTCTTCACCCCTGTCCACCCGCAGCGAAGCATGCCACTTTGCACGAAGCATACCTGTTCTCATACTATGACGTTTAACATAGCCAAAATACGCCAACTTTCCTTTATGAACAGATTCTTCTCGATGTTACTTCTTCAATTCTCTTTGAATGCTCACCATTTCCTCGCTGATGTACTTGGGAAAAACAATGCTACTTCAGGAAATCAGACTGGGATCATAGTTTCGATAGACAAGTGCTTATCCGCAGAAACCGTCATCGATATTCAAGATCTGTCTCGTCTTCCATAAAGCGAGTTTTTTCTATTTCCCCAGCTTAATATAGCTATTTAATTTTTTTTTTCAGTAACTATTTTGACATGATCATATTACATGAAATTATAGAATGTTCTTTCATAAAAAAAATGTTAAGAATATCTCCACGCTTTTTTAACACACTAATGCTTTTGACTAGAGCTGAGTTATGAACCGACGTCATAGAACTCAGGATATTCCCATAAGCGCTCAGTCCCTATCTTCATCAGCCAGAACAGTTTCCAGTTTCACTAGAATTAGTAGCAACCTTCTTGCCGTGTTAAGTGTCGACCAGATTCCCTGTTTACCCCACGATCATGAAATATTTTTAAATATGGGGGCCCACTTTACCCCACGATCATGAAATATTTTTGTAAATCTTTGATATTTTCGAAGTTAAATATTCAGAAACAGATACAAAGACTCCAAAAGATTAGGATGTCGGGCATGTGACAAATGAGTTGAAGTAATTTTCTGTGGAAAAATCTAAAGATGAGCTGACTGGTGCAATGAGTGTCGGGAGTGCTTTAAATCTAAAGAGATGCTGAGTGGTGCAATGAGTGTCTGGAAGCTTTAAATCTAAAGAGATGCTGAGTGGCGCAATGAGTGTCTGGAAGCTTTAAATCTAAAGAGATGCTGAGTGGCGCAATGAGTGTCTGGAAGCTTTAAATCTAAAGATATGCTGAGTGGGGCAATGAGTGTCTGGAAGCTTTAAATCTAAAGATATGCTGAGTGGGGCAATGAGTGTCTGGAAGCTTTAAATCTAAAGATATGCTGAGTGGGGCAATGAGTGTCTGGAAGCTTTAAATCTAAAGATTTGCTGAGTGGAGCAATGAGTGTCTGGAAGCTTTAAATCTAAAGATATGCTGAGTGGTGCACTGAGTGTCGGGAGTGCTTTAAATCTAAAGATATGCTGAGTGGTGCAATGAGTGTCTGGGAGTGCTTTAAATCTAAAGATATGCTGAGTGGTGCAATGAGTGTCGGGGTGCTTTAAATCTAAAGATTTGCTGAGTGGTGCAATGAGTGTCGGGAGTGCTTTAAATCTAAAGATATGCTGAGTGGTGCAATGAGTGTCGGGAGTGCTTTAAATCTAAAGATATGCTGAGTGGTGCAATGAGTGTCGGGAGTGCTTTAAATCTAAAGATTTGCTGAGCGGGGCAATGAGTGTCGGGAGTGCTTTAAATCTAAAGATTTGCGGAGTGGTGCAATGAGTGTCGGGAGTGCTTTCAATCTAAAGATTTGCTGAGTGGTGCAATGAGTGTCGGGGTGCTTTAAATCTAAAGATATGCTGAGTGGTGCAATTAGTGTCGGGAATGCTTTTTTCCACATGCATTTGTAATAATAATAAAGAAACAAACCAAGACCGACTCTGTATCTTTCAAATACAATGTTTAAATTGCGATACAGGAGATGCTTATAATCTCATTTGCTGTTCTAGTTTTGAATAAGTTCATATGATATTTTGCTCTCTAATAATGCCCTTCGATAGAATATAGCATCAGTACACACAAAAAAAGCATCATTTCATTTGTTTCCCACCAATCGTTGACCCGCTTGCTACAGTCCCATGGGTGGCCATATTATAGAGGTTTCGCGGTTACACAGACACAGAACAATTACTGACTTTCTTGAATGTCTACAGGCGATGAGCGGTTGCTGCAGAATGGAAAAAAAAAATAGTATTACCATGGAAAAGTTTCATAAGAAATCCTATGAGGTATGTATATTATGTATGCATGTATACATGCATGCATATATGTATGTAAACGTGCATGCAGGAATGTATGTATGTACGTACCTGCGTACAGACAGACAGACAGACAGACAGACAGACAGACAGACAGACAGACAGACAGACAGACAGACAGACAGACAGACAGGCAGGCAGGCAGGCAGGCAGGCAGGCAGGCAGGCAGGCAGGCAGGCAGGCAGACAGACAGACAGACAGACAGACAGACAGACAGACAGACAGACAGACAGGCAAACAGACAGACGGGGCCACGAATATGGTGAGGCTCATATTTGTATTATAGTATTGCCAGATTTTTTTTTACTGTAGAATGAACTTATCACCTTAATCTGGAAATCTCCTCGTTGTTCCTGCTCACTTTTAATTCTGACATTCTGTATTTTATGTCTTCGGGTGTCTTGGCCCACTTCTGGAGTTCTCCGGAGCCAATCAAGATGAACATCACGGATGACAAGACAAATACAGCAGAAAGGACGAGGAATGTAATCTGCCATCCGCTGCGAAGTCTCTGCAAAAGTATGAACCTGCCAGTAACATGAATCTCTCTTATTGCCTCTGTGTTTTGAAAAGTTTAAAGATTAAAATCCAGACGATCGACACAATGTTAGCCCCCCCCCCCCTCCCCCACCCTCTCCGTTTCTCTATTTACAGAATGTCAAGCCCCCAGCCAAGAGCACTGCAAACAGCACGAGATCCATAGCTTCAGTAACTATTCCCAGGAGCATGTAAAAAAAAAGTGCTCTTTGAAATCTAATAGGGCAGTCCGTGAAACGAACACAAACTTCGGAGAGCGAGGCGAATGCCTAATCAATTAGCCACTCACACCCCCAATTAAAAATCGGTCCCAGGCATGTGTTACTTACCTGTTTTAGTCTAACAACCAAATATTTAAATTATCCAGTGTGTGGATATACAGTGGCTAACACTTCCATTAACAATCAAGTATTGTTGTAACATTATAATATTTTTTTAACTTAGGTTACGAAAAACAAAATGTATTGTTCTGAACAGATTTATAAAATATTACAGTATAGCAAGATTTTACAAAGCAGCAAGATTTTACAAAGCTTGCTTATGGTTTGGTTTATGGGTTACACAACGGATCAACATCATGGCACAAGGGGAGAAATCCATAAATGCTCCGTTGTACTTCTAACTCAAGCCTGAGTACAAAGAATCTCAGCGCAGTGCACGAGCTCTGTAGCACCAGAAAGGATACTGAAATACTTTGGGTAGATTTTTAACAAAATGGGAAACACTACTGTGGTGAGAAACACAGGTATGACAACAGTTTTGCCAATGCACAGTTTTCCAAACCTCATGTGCTTAGGTCCCACTGTAAGGATGAAGAATGGTAACCCTTAGGAAGATCTTTCGTGCTAAAATACAGGTGATTAGATGTTGCCATACAACAATTTAAAGACATGTGCAAGTGGGACATGCATAATACAGATGTTGAATTAGATTCACGGGACCAGGATGCAATGAAATCGTGTTGCATGGATAGAAAATTAGGGACTAAACATGAACAAAGAAGAAAGGGATTTCTGACAGGAAAACATACGAGAATAAATGTGGTATTTATGTGTGAGGGCATACATGGATTGATTGAAATATCTCGCGCTTATTGTGGACTGTTTTTTTTTTTTTTTTAATTACTTTTTTTTTAAAATAAATTTTGTTTTTAAATATTTTTTTTTTAACGCTGCCCGCTCATGTTTGATGGGGCCAGACTTTTTTTTTAAAACTGGCCTCGACTTCTAGTTCGACCCAGCTTTGTGTAGGTACCAGTTACAGTCACGGGAAGTGAAGGTGGCCGGTGTGATGCTGACCTTATCGCCCACCACGTGCCGTTTGGATTATAAAATATAAGTCAAACCCTGTATACACAATACGCCTGAAAGCGGGGCAAGGGGACCTTTACTTTTACTTTTACCAGCTCATGCTAGTCACTGTTGCAGTCACTATGGGCTGTGATTCTCATACCTCTTTAGCACAATGGAACAGTATCGTCAGAAAGGACGGAAAAGAACAATATTGCCGTTACTTCGAGGTAAAAGTGACCTATGTACTGGCTGGATGTCGAATTGGGAGTGGGGAAAAAAAGCATTTAAAACTACGGTATGAAGATGTGTGCAAGCGGGAAATAAATGAAAACAAGTATTGAGGTGGACTCATTGGAACAAAATGCCATGGACCGTGTTTTGCGGAGAGGGTTTATCGGGAAGGGAATGAGAATGAAGAAAGAAATGATTGCAGAAAAGATCAGAGCTGAGCGTCTCAGAAGAAACGGATTAAACACAAATGCTGACAACAATGGTCCTGCAATCCCATGCTGTCATCATGGAAGACTTGTCTTGTTACGGGCGGGTCTTGCTAGTCACACTCGCCATCGCCATGGCCTGTCCTATGCCTCCTTATAGCACAATATAACATTATCGTCTGGGAAAACGGACATGTGCCAATCAATCAACGAAAGCATTTAAAATATAAAACTGAAGAAGAAAAAATTATGGTCAGTTGCCTGGACATAACAGAACTGTTATACAGTTCTGTATCATGGGTTAAATTCAGCTGTAGAAACATAGAAACAGTTGTAGTAGAGTGGATTTGTGTAACAAATGGGCAGACAAGATTTAGACAACAATTGTAGGTAAAAAGCATCAAAGAAAGGCAGGGAAAGTTTCGAGATATCTAATGAGTTACGCGGCAAATACAGTGTGTGTGTGCGCGTGTATGTGTGCGTGTGTGTGTATAAATATATATAAAGAAAGAAAGAGAGAGAGAGAGAGAGAGAGAGAGAGAGAGAGAGAGAGAGAGAGAGAGAGAGAGAGAGAGAGAGAGAGAGAGAGAGAGAGATAAGAAGAAGACGTAACTGTCCTCAACTTTCGGTCGCAAGTGCTTTCAGTAATATTTCAGACGTATGTCGGTCTGCTTCATTTCCCCTCCGACTTTCCTGTTGCTTTTCTTCTTTCATAATTCCTTTAGCGAATTTAGTTTTTTATTTTTTATTTTAGTGCATGTAATTTGTTTTCTTAGAAAGTCAACTTCTTCCAGTACATCTTCATGACACTTGTATCTGTCCATAGTGTTCTCATCGCTTGTCTATTGTATAGACTCTTTTGCAATATATATTATTAGATAGGCCGTATTTGGTCACCATTCAATACTTACGCTTGTAGTCAACTTGGCTATTAGTGTAAGAGGCGCCATCGCGGACAATGACGTAATCGTAGATGCAAAGCCGAAGATTACCCCCGCGTGCTGCGGCGCTATTTCGTAAACATTCATAAGATAACCAGCTCCGAACTGAATGCCAGCGACTGTGTTTATTGCCGCCAGGATAACCACCGCTTGGGTACTGTGGTTGCAGTTTAAAAATCCCGCAAAGATTAACAAGACAGCCGGCACTAGCAACCCTGAAATAATATTGGGGGAAAAAATAATTATTAGTCAATTACACTATTCCAATGGATTTAGTATAAAGACACTGAGGAAAGATTAACAGGTTTGGCAGCTTTAAACAATACATTAATGAAATAAATTAGGCACTATGGGTCGGTCAACAACAATAACACCAACAACAAAGTCGCCGTACACAATCAGGTAAACATCCCATTGTCTAGGTCAGTGGTTCTCAACGTGTGGGTCGCGACCCTTTTGGAGGTTGAACACCACTTTCACAGGGTCGCATAAGACCATCGAAAAACACATATTCACTGAAGTTTTGAAGTAGAAACGAAATTAACACCTGTTGGAGGTCAGTCAAAATTGGTGGTACCCATTGTAGGCACATCTTCCGATATTGCAGTTTCTTTCGAAACCTCTTTTAAAATGTCCTAACTGCCTTCAATAGCAGTTCATATATGTACTTGTGCATACATTTTGACCACCTTATTTTGTAAGATGTAAAGATGGTTTGTGCGCTTTTTTCCAATGCATTGTACATGTTGGTGCTCATTTCTGTTATGTTGTTCCTGATGATGTCGCCCCATCTCTAACAGGGCATCCCGTCATGTCGCCAAACTCTCTCACTTGTTGATCTTTTATTAATTAAATGACTTGTTTCAGTCCTAGTCTTCTTTTAATTTCTTCATTCCTGATTGTGTCTCTTTTTGTCACACCGAAAGCTCTCCTAAGACATCTCATCTCTATTGTTAACGATCTCCCGCTCATTAGTTATAGTAAGGGTCCATGTTTATCACTGGTAGCACAATGTCGACCAAAAAAACCGTTCTTATGAGATTTGCTTTGATTGACAGAGGTATATTTCTATTAATCAGAAGCGGTGTTAATTGTCCCATAACCTTATATGCTTTCGCACATCGTATGTTGATTTCTCTACCTTTTCTTCCGTCTCTGTTCTCACAATCCAAGAATGATGCGCCCACGACGCAACAAAGGTGCTAAATCTACAACCGTGTCAATGCAGGAAGTCTGTGCATAACACCTATGACGTCACAAAAATGCCCCGGAAGGTCCATATACTCACGAGTCGGTTGTGCTTTAACGCGCAAATTACACACATTGAGGCATGGGCGGGTTTCAAATTTAATCTCCTTATGTGTTTTAGAGTGAGTATGTATGTATGCATGCATGCATGTATGTAATGTAAGTTTGTACGTAAATATGTGTGAGTGCGTGTGTGTATATATGTGTGTGTGTATCTGTGCGTGTATGTATGCATGTCTATGTTACGACAAAAAGGCACTATCTGCATACTCTTTGCATTCGGTTTTCGACAAATAAATGCAAATTCGGTACTAATCATGAGAGTCACCCTGTGTCGTTCATGAGGAAAATTTTATACCGGCTCCAACTCATGTTGTTCCTGTTCCCACGCGCTGTCATATGCCCTAGACTATAAGAATGTCCCGGAATATCACCTAGGACATAGTGCGGCCGACGAGGTGAGGTGACTTTCGTGATTTGTACCGGAAATTCTGCCAAGGCATGTTACCTATAGAGCTGCCAGTCTTCCTGGCAACACTTCCAGAGCAGATCTTCCTTGCAACGATCTTGTCGTAGACAGCTGCTGAGAGGTTACAGGAGGCGAAGAACCCAATGTAAGTAATGGCAACAATTCCGGCAGCCTTAGGGTATATAAGAGTATAAATTTGTCTGTCAGTTGTTTTCTATTTGTTCATCCTATTTCACTTTCTGTTCCTCTTTCTTTTGAGCAGTAAAGGCGGCCGCCTTGATGTTAATCACATCATCTATTGAGTGCCGACGGTCCATTCAAATAAATGTCTTTAGTGCGTTTACAAATGCATGCTCATTGTATTTTCGATAATTTATCCGTCACTACTTATAGTAGCAAGGTGAATTTAAAGACTACAGGGTCGATTTCACAGCACCTGTTCTGATCCTAAATGGGTTTAACTCACGTTTTCAGGCCCACAAACAGAGTAACGTCTCCTTCTAAAAATGGATTGCCGTGTTGTGCGGGTGTATCCTTTGTTGTGGGGGTGTCACTCTTAGTGACCGGAGGGCGATACGGTCCCAAAACATGCAAAACTGGCCATTACCTCTATCACCCAACGTCCAGTGAGAGAGTGCAGCCTAGGGCGAACAACTGCATGCAGCTTATAATATACAAAAAAAAAAAAAAAGTCATGCGACCTAGTCTGCATGTAGTCGTGGGACATAGGCTTCTTTCTCCTGTGGGACGTACGGAAGGGAGGAAGGGGTGGGTGTTAGGGCTAAGTCTGCATGTTTTGCAATCGTTAAAGGCGCTCACATCCTAGAATATACAAAACGCGATAGCGCCGGCCGGTGAGAAAAACTATTTAAATAGTGCATGTTGGTAGGCGGTCACAAAGCAAGTCATCCCCACATCATAGGACACGCAGCGCGACACAGCAGTACATGAATTGGAAGGGAAGTAACTCTGTGGGCCTGAAAACGTTAGTCGTGCCCCTAAATGGCTCAGTGAAATAATAAATCAATCGATAATTGACACCCCTGCACTCCGGACATTCCAACACGTGTCCCCCTCCCTTCTTCGGTAACCAACGAAGAGTTGGCATGATAATAGTACCAGATGAATCCTGATTAAAAATCCACTATAGGAACGATGAGAGCCACTGTTCTGTTGCCTCATTTGTTCATTTCCTTGCGTTTGCTTATAATGTTCCCTACTGCGGGTTGCCTAAACACTTGCCTTCCGACCCAAAGACTTAATCCGCATTGTTCGATTAGGCCTCAAATGAGTAACCGGAAATGTTTTGCCAGGAAAAGGCAGTCGGCGGGAATTTGACCGCATCACTCATCCAGTGTGGGAGCCGCCGTCGTGTAGCTGCTGCACGCTCGCTGGCAGACCCGAAGGTTGAGTTTTCGAGTCCTGTGGAATACTGAATTGTTTTTAAAAATAACTTTGGCTTCCACGTAGACCCAGCTCTAAATGGGTACTAGGTATATTCCTGAGTCAGCGTGCCAGCGTGATGCTTATACATCACGCACTGAGTGCCGATCTGTCTATAAAATATAGGTCTAGCCCTATATGCAAAATGAACCTAGGGCGTGTAAAAAAGTCATTTACTTTACTAATCCAGTGCCGACTGGTTCATAAAAGAAACTTATTTTTCGCTAGTAGGAAATATGATAATAGACTCGGTGCTATTCAGTTTTTTACCCCATCTCGTCGGGTGCAAGATTTCTTAGGGGATTTTCCGCGAAAGTTTTATAGTTTATGACGTGCCCTTAATCCCCTTGTACAAAAAACGTGACAAAAAACTGTCTTGGCTTCGTTCAACGGGGTCGACACACTGTCTCTTACACGAAAGTGAGCAACTGTCTTTTCTGTGAAAAACTGTTTAAGGGTAAGAGTTAGAGTTAGGCGCAGGAATACTGACATATCAAGGAAATTCATGACAAAGGCCAGGTCACGGGGGGAAAAAAACAGCGCTTCCAAACAGCGCAAGATGTTGGCAAGAAACGAACGAAAGTAACACACACCCTGGAAACGACGACCCAGTAAACTATAACAATGCTGAAAAGAAGCAACAAATGACACGCCAGAATAAAGGCGTTTTCGTGTTTTAGCTTTAGTTAAAGGACTGCGACTAAGACTAACCCTAACAATGAACCCACTAGACAATATGACTGTCATGGTGAATTCTTTGTGAAACCTCGCACCTAACAAGATAGGGTGACAATGCTGAATAGTACAAGAGGCTCACATTTTTAATAAATCAGTAGGTACACATTAGATCAAGTATGTCAACCCGGCGGCCCTCAGGCTGCATGCTGCCCTTTGCAAGCCAACCTGTTAAATGCTTTCAGCTAGTTGTCGTGTGAGGCCCACATGTCGACACAAATATGACCCTGGTGTCCCTCAGGAACCCTCATTTTGATGCGCCAACAGTCTGATATGCTACATTGTGACCGTCAGTTTCACATACCATCATTGTGACCGTCAGTTTGACATGCCATCATTGTGACCGTCAGTTTGACATGCCATCATTGTGACCGTCAGTTTGACATGCCATCATTGTGACCGTGAGTTTGACATGCCATCATTGTGACCGTCAGTTTGACATGTCAGTAGTCTAACAAGCCATCATTGTGACCGTCATTTTGACATGCCATTATTGTGACCGTCATTTTGACATGCCATCATTGTAACCGTCAGTTTTACATGCCATCGTTGTGACCGTCAGTTTGACATGCCATTATTGTGACCGTCATTTTGACATGCCATTATTGTGACCGTCATTTTGACATGCCATTATTGTGACCGTCATTTTGACATGCCATTATTGTGACCGTCAGTTTGACATGCCATTACTGTGACCGTCATTTTGACATGCCATCATTGTGACTGTAATTTTGACATGCCATTATTGTGACCGTCATTTTGACATGCCAGCAGTCTAACAAGCAATCATTGTGACCGTCAGTTTGACATGCCATCATTGTGACCGTCAGTTTGACATGCCATCATTGTGACCGTCAGTTTGACATGCCAGCAGTCTAACAAGCCATCATTGTGACCGTCAGTTTGACATGCCATCAGTCTAACATGCCATCATTGTGACCGTCAGTTTGACATGCCATCATTGTGACCGTCAGTTTGACATGCCATCAGTCTAATATGCCATCATTGTGACCGTCAGTCTGACATGCCATCAGTCTAAGAAGCCATCAATGTGACCGTCAGTTTGACATGCCATCAGTCTAACATGCTATCATTGTGACCGTCAGTTTGACATGTCATCATTGTGATCGTCAGTTTGACATGCCATCATTGTGACCGTCAGTCTGACATGCCATCAGTCTAACAAGCCATCAATGTGACCGTCAGTTTTACATGCCAGCAGTCTAACAAGCCATCATTGTGACCGTCAGTTTGACATGTCATCATTGTGACTGTCAGTTTGACATGCCATCAGTCTAACATGCCATCAGTCTGACATGCCATCAGTCTAACATGCCATCATTGTGACCATCAGTTTCACATGCCATCAGTCTAACATGCCATCATTGTGACCGTCAGTTTCACATGCCATCAGTCTAGCAAGCCATCATTGTGACCGTCAGTTTGACATGCCATCAGTCTAACATGCCATCAGTCTAACATGCCACCAGTCTAACATGCCATCAGTCTAACATGCCATCAGTCTAACATGCCATCAGTCTAACATGCTATCAGTCTAACATGCCATCAGTCTAACATGCCATCAGTCTAACATGCCATCAGTCTAACATGCCATCAGTCTAACATGCCATCAGTCTAACATGTCATCAGTCTAACATGCCATCAGTCTAACATGCCATCATTGTGACCGTCAGTTTGACATGCCATCAGTCTAACATGCAATCAGCCTGACATGCCATCAGTTTGACATGCTTGCATTGTATCAGTGGCTCTCACCATTCCTAATGCGGCAACAGTTTTATACAGTTCCTCATGTTGTGCAAACCACCAGCCATACAATTATTTTTGTAAGCACTTGATTTATTCAGTGTATATGTGTTTTTCTATGGTCTATGACGACCGCTGTGAAAGGGTCGTTTGACAAGCAAGAGGGTCGCGACCCACAGATTTAGAACCCCTGCATTAGATGATATGGTCGGTATCAAGTTGACATGTCCTGCTATGCATGTTAGGCTGCTTAGACCTGGGATAACATCCGATGGAAGATTTATCACAGAGATAAAGAACAGAATAGGAGAAGCCAACCCTGCCTTTTAAAAAATAACGATTTTGTGAAATAAATTCATGTCATTGAAGGTTAGGAAAGAAATTATCACATGGTGTATAAAGCCAGTTTTAACGTGCGGATGTGAATCCTGGACATAAGAAAGAAAACGAACAATACCTTGAGGCCTAGAAGATGTGGTTTTACAGAAGAATTCTTAGAATTGCTTTGACTGCTAAGAAGAGCAACCCAGATGTTTAAAAAGAGGCTCGAAGACAGCTTATCACAAACATCAGAAAGAGACAGTCGTAATTTTGTGGTCATGTTATGAGAAGAGGAAAACTTGAACATGTTGTGACCACCCAGAAGATCTGTGGAAAGAGAGACAGCGGCAGACAGTGCGAGAAGATTCTTGATAGCCCTGTATCATCTTATAGCAAGGTGTCAGCACACGAACTGATCCACGCAGTCACGGTTTGTGGAGATGTATGATCGCCCACCCCAATCCGTACGGTACTTGATGATGAGACCTGGGAAGCCAAGAACTTCAGGTAACATCGCTACAGGTACTACTAAAAACTATTGCTTACTATATCACTCACAAATTGTAATTATTCAACCTCACCGTTAAATTCGAGAAATAGTGAACGTCCTGCAAGTATCTGGGCGCTAAAGCTATCAGGCAGACAAAATGGAAGCCAACAGCCGTATGCCCGATGACATAAGCCCATACGGCAGGTGATGAGAGTATAGCGATCCATGGTGTCGTATGTGCCTCCTGGAAAGGAAAAGGTACTGATTTTTGTTGTTGTTCGGATGCAGATGTAGTCATTTCTAATTTTAATAATAGAAAGAAAAAAAAAAACCGTTAATTCTGAATAACTTTCTGTTTCATTTATACCTTAATGTTTTGGTTTTTTTAATTTTAAATGGTTGACTGTGATGTATACTAACAGCACTAATACTAGCATAAATATAGTCATAATGACAATAAATGTTGCATAGGTGCCGCAATACGTTTTGTATAGATGCCATTTGAGATGCCTCAGCTTCCATCTTCCCCACCCCTCTCATCCTTCCTTTCACCGAACCACTATTACCAACCCTGCCTAAACGTTTTCTTTTGAAGGTATTTCTTTATCAATTTCATTCCATTTCAAAAATATTTTTTTTTAATTGCTTGTCATTCAGCAGTGATACTAATAATATTACTAACTATTAATAACAATAATAATGTTATTGTTTTGCGCAGTTAAACAAGAGAAAGCTGAGATCCCCAATTTTTTTCTCTTTGTGGCAGCGCTCTTGGATTGTTGTAATAATAGTTAGAAAAATAATAGTAGTTCTGATAATGACTGTTTGAGGATTTCCTCAGATAGATATGGCCTATTAACACCATTAAACCTCTGACTCTAAGTATTTAAATTAACTTGTTTTATTATTAATGACCTCCCGCCCCCACCCCCGATAATAATAGTAGTAATAATAATAATAATAAAAATAATAATAATAATAATAATGAAGGTAAGAAGTAAAGGACCATTTTCCACGCCTTTAAGCGTATTGGGCATGTATAGCTAGACCTATATTGTGTACACCAATCGGCACTCGGTGGATGATGTAGTGAGCGTAACACCGGCGACTTTTACTTCTCAGGATTGCACCTGGTACCCACTCAAGGCTGGGTCGACCTGGGAGCTTTGGTTATTTTGTAAAAAACAGTCCGGTTCCGCTAGTACTCAAATTCACTAAGTTCTAATCCGCAAGGTGAGCGTCAAATAAAAATAATAATAATAATTACAGGATCATCGAAAAGAATACTTTTATATATAATACAGTTACACATAATCTTGCCGACCTCTTGGGGTATATCTTTCTTGAGACAGTGACGAATGTACATTTTCTCCAATTTGCTGATTCGGGGATGTTGGCTGGGCGTGTCGTAAACGAAATAATACCAAAGAACACACCAGATGATTGTCACTATACCTATAGAGAAAAATATAAATAATCTACTTTCTATTGAGAACCCAGCTTATCATGTTCTTATCAACATCATCATTGCAAACGTATTGTGATGTGTATACGTCACATAGGGCTCGCAGTATATTCCTTTCTTTCTTTCTTTTTTCCTAGTGCATACTCGTTGACTTACAGATGACATCAAGCTTCATCAAGTAACTTTAGCCTCATTTGACTGTACAGCATGCAAGTCATATTGAACATATTAAAGCACCCTCGAATGGCTTAGAGTTCATGCATCTAAACATATCTAGAAATTTGGTGTTCTGTAACAGCTCTACTGCAACTGGTGATTTTCTTCTAAGCTACCTTTTCAGAGAGCCCTGTTAATTGATTGAATGGACTTAAGCCACCTGTACAAGCTCGAGAAGTAGTGTGACTTAGCGGCTGGTCTGTTAAGAAGAGACAAAACGTACACAGAAAGAGTCTTCGCCGTCGAGGTAGGCGCAAGAGGTCTTGTTTCCACTTCAATATACAAAGTGATTAAACAACTAGGCTTACGAGGGAATGAACGCAAACGAGCACTAAAACAATTGGGCGAGGTTGCTGAGAGGGACTCGAGCTGGCTCTGGACACAACAGAAGGTCGTGGGGGACGGGCCTCGGTGAGCTGGTCCGGGTGTCTAGTGGAAAAGAATGTCTTATCCCTTAAAATCCATCATGTCCGAATTGTCTGCCAGTGTCCGTCTGCCACCTGCCAACAAAGTCTAACATGTGTCCGGTAAACCAAACGTAAGCTTGGCACTTGGTCGTCCAGGTAAGCTGACTGCTCTAATTATGCTACCGCAACGACTTCGTATCTCACAGTACCTTTTGCAAAGTCACCAGTTCGTCTTGTCCCTGTCCGATAACATCCGGTAATACGTGCAGCAGGGAAAACCAGCTCTGAGCCTCATGAACTCAGGTGGGCCCACTCTCTGAAAATGTCTAGGAGCTGGTGGGCCGAAACATTTGTCGACGAGAGATTACTTCTACTGATGATTGGTAGACTCCTGCTGTACATGCTCCCCTGTGGAGTTTCTTTTTATCTATATATTTTTGCTTTTTCTAAAGCTTTTTTTTCTAATTGTCATAATCTCCAGTGAATTACTTCTCATTACATGACAGAATAGCACAGATTGTCTTGTTCGTAAAGTTGCTGATAGCGGTCTACTTTCCACACATCTTCTGCAATTAGTCAGTCTTAGTTATTTCCTGGTACTTTAGTCAGTGTCGATAAAGGTACTAGACTGAGTAACAACTTCGATACAGTAAACGTGATTGTCATCGTCATCATCATCATCATGATCATCATCAGCATCTGTATCATCATCATCAGCAGCAGCATTATCATCATCAACATCATCATCAACATCATCATCATCATCATTATCATCACCATTATCATCATGATCATCAACAACAACATCATCATAACCATCACCAACAACACCATCATCAACAAAACCATTACCAACAACACCATCATCATTAACAGCAATACCATTTTCATTATTAACACTAACAATATCATCATCATCAGCAACAACAAGAATATCATGATCACCATCATCCCCACTGGCATAATTACGGACATAATCATCATCAACCATTAACAGCTTCATCATCATAATCATCATCATCCACATCATCATCAGCAGCAGCAGCAGCATAATCATTATGTTATGTTATACTTAAGCAGGGCTAGCAGCTGAGTGCCCTAATCTATTCTATCACGTGCAACCCTCTCGATATTATGGGTGGAATGAAGTCCAGGGCTTTTGGTGTCTCTCAACAGCGTTCCTCTCCGGGTTTCTCCAGACGTCTTTACTTCTACTGCCCCTGTGTTTTCCATGCCAATACTTCTTTGGTAATTCTCCGTCCGTTTTTACTCATGATATATCAACCAGATAGTCACCTCTCCCATCCTCTCTCCCATCCTCTCTCTCTCCCTCCCTCCCTCCCTCCCCCTCTCTCTGTCTATCTATCTCTGTCTATCTATCTATCTATCTATCTATCTATCTATCTATCTATCTATCTATCTATCTATCTATCTATCTATCTATCTATCTATCTATCTATCTATCTATCTATCTATCTATCTATCTATCTATCTATCTATCTATCTATCTATCTATCTATCTATCTATCTATCTATCTATCTATCTATCTATCTATCTATCTATCTATCTATCTATCTATCTATCTATCTATCTATCTATCTATCTATCTATCTATCTATCTATCTATCTATCTATCTATCTATCTATCTATCTATCTATCTATCTATCTATCTATCTATCTATCTATCTGGCTGTCTGTCTGTCTGTCTGCCTGCCTGCCTGCCTGCCTACCTGCCTGCCTGTCTGTCTGTCTGTCTGTCTGTCTGTCTGTCTGTCTGTCTCTCTCTCTCTCTCACTTAACCGATGATAAAAATAGTAAAGTCGGCAGGTGTGAAACAGTGCCATTGCACGCGGTTATCAACCATAAGTGCTCTGCCACCAGTACGGGCAGCTGATAAGAAAATTTCTGCCCGTGTCGCCGTCCTGACGTAACTCCGTTGCTACAGCTACGTTCTTGCATTTACCCCAGAGTGTCAAC